ATTCAAAATAATTCAGATATTTTTGCATTTGCGTCATGAACAGCTAAAGAACAACTAATCTTTTAAGTAATTTCTAAGTATTAATCTCTCTCTCCCAGCCTTTGTATTTGTATTTTTAAAATGGTTTTATTCTGTATTTTGATTTTGTTTCTCACATTGTGTTTTTTTCTTTTGTACGGTAACCTTCAGTGTCCAGAAAGGTGCCTTCAAAATAAAATGTATGATTATTATTATTAAGTTTAATAATGTTTTTACGTTTTATTCATAATTCATATACAGAAAGAAAAGTTTAACAAACAAAAAGAACTTGTGGGGCTAAAAACTTATATTCTTTCTTGTTTTTCTTCTAAAACTTATCCAAGCCACCATAACTATGCAGCACAATGGTGTCCATAATATCAAAACAACAAATAAGAAAACATTTTAATAAATAAAGAGAGAAGGGCAAGTTAACTAGTCCTTCATTTTAATAAAAGGAAGAGGCTTAAAATGATTAGGTATCGGTTTCTTTTTAAATCTATGGCCAAATGACCAAGAAATCAATAAAACAAATCACAGAAAACAAGACAGTAACAGCAAAAGAATTAGACCACTTTATGTTAAGAGTTCAAATGAAATTGCTCCTTCGCTTTTATGGATTAATCATCAGTTTAAAGTTCTTTTTTTCACTGAGCAGATGAGGATTTCTACAGCGTCCCAGTAAGCAGGAGTGAACTCTGAATGTAATCTTCAGAGGATATGAGCCGCAGCTGTAGTTAAAGCTGATAGTTTGGCTCATTTGCATCCTGAGGAATTTTTAACTACCATCTTAATTTCATCGACTGATGGAGCGAGCTGCTCTGATTACGCCGCAATGATCTGCATATCAATGTGTTAAACCAGGAGATCTGGGGATTTTAACATTTCATTAGGAAATAACTTACTCTAAGACATAAAGAGAATCTCATACATTTGTATAAACAAACAAAAAACGACTTTTTATACTGCAGTCTTAGGTTAACCCTAATGCTGAACTGCATGAGTGATTTTCTGCTTCAGGCACAATGGATATAAATGGCTCCTTTATGCTTCTCCTTCACATTTCATACATTAACTGAGTAATATAGCTGAGAAAAAATAAAAATGATCTTAGCTCAGATTAATAAGGTAAAAAGCTTGACGATATTCAGAGTTTGTCATTGTTTTCATCTACTGCTGTATTTTCAGCAAAGGTTTTATAAAAATCAGTAATTTCTTTCAATTTTACACGTTACAAATCTCTTTCTACACTAGGACTTAAACTAAAGGCAACTGAAAAAAAAATTATTCTATATAATATTTAAAAAAAAGAAAAGTCTAAAAGTAAAAGTTTTTAAAAGTAAATCAGATTTTTCAGAGGTTGGTATTGGCTGGTGACGTTTACTTGAGTATCCTTTTGAGAAAGATGTACTTTTAGGAGTAGTTTTACTGCACATTACCTCTTACTTTTAATTGAGTAATAAAGTTATGAAGTATCACTGCTCCTACTAAGGTAAAATATCTGGCATGTCTTTCTACCATCAGTAACTTCAGTTATTTGGGGATGAATATACAGAAAGAAGTAGATATTGTCAGAAGTTTTGCTATTCTGTTTTCTTTTACAAGACTGTAATGTTCACCTGCACTCCTGACTGTTACTATTGTAACAACTCTTTACATGCATCTTGCACAACTCACCTGACTAAATATATTGATTTGCACTGCCGACTGTTTATTCACAGTACCAATTGTTTGCATATACATTTGCAATAACGTACTTAAACTGTAATATGCAATTACCTTCCACTGCACTTTAATTTAGATAGCTTCTGTCCAAATTTATTTTTTCATTTTATAGTAAAATCATCTGTATATATGCTATTGTACATAACTGTAAAAAACCCTTTTTATAGTAATATCCACCTGTATATTATAT